TTGCTGCAGTGGTCTGGAACAGAAACCACAACATCTCTGAGATATGCCTGTATTGATCAGATTTCATAGTTAGAAATGTCCTAAAATACGGGAACAGTGAAAATATTGATTATTTGAATTCATAAAAATTTTAAATGTTTTATGTCCAAAAAGTCATAAAATTAAAAGACAAGAAAAATGAGAAAAATATTTTCCACAAATATAATGGATTAATATCCTTAATATATAAAGGGCTCTTACAAATAGGTAAGAGGCAAAATACACAGATAATTTACAGAAGAAGAAACAGAAGCACCTAATAAACATAAAAATACTTAATCTCACTGATGAAAAAACGTTTCGCCCCTTGAATTAGAAAAGAATTTTTTTTTAAATGCTAAGGTAGGTAGGATGAAATAGAAATGTACTTGTTAAAGGCAGACATACACATTGATACAATGCCAGTATGTACAAAGAGCCTTAGAATAATATTTAAAAAGGAAATCATCTGAAATGCGGGTAAAGTAGTATGCACAGAAGTGCCAGTATTATTTATTATAGTAGAAAAATGGAAACAACCTATACATCCAATAAGAGGAGAACAGGTAAGAAATTATAGTGTGAACAAATGATTGTACAGTTAAGTTATATTTTCTAAGACTACTAATTAAATGCAAAAATGCTTATTTCTATGTTAGGTGAAAATAAATGGATATAAATTTGTATTTACAGTATGATTGCTAATTTTTTTTTTTTTTTTTTTTTTTTTTTTTTTTTTTTTTTTTGCGGTACGCGGGCCTCTCACTGTTGTGGCCTCTCCCGTTGCGGAGCACAGGCTCTGGATGCGCAGGCTCAGCGGCCGTTGCTCACAGGCCCAGCCGCTCCGCGGCATGTGGGATCTTCCCGGACCGGGGCACGAACCCGTGTCCCCTTCATCGGCAGGCGGGCTCTCAACCACTGCGCCACCAGGGAAGCCCATGATTGCTAATATTTTTAAATGGAAAAAAGCAATATATGATTGGTATTTGGTGTGATTTAATTTCTTCTTTGTATTCTTCTGAATTTTCCAAATTCCTGTTTATAATTATGTATTACTTTTGTAGTCTGAAAAAAAAAAAATCCTCCTCAGAGCCTGCAGGATAAAATCTAAATTCCTTAGCATAGCATATGATGATCGCCTTCTCACCATTCCCCAGTCCTAACTTTCTTAAGGTCCTACCAGACTGCTTGCATTTCCCTAATTGCCATGTCATCACTGTCTCAGGGTTGTCTTTATTATTTATTGATTTTTGCCTCGGATGCTCTTGAATGCCCTTCCCACCCTCTGGTCCCTTTTATTTCAATCCCACAGCCACTCCGTGGGGTGGGTCAGATAACTCCTCCTTTGTGCTGCCATCATTCTCTATGATTCCTTTCTCATAGCCCTTCCCACACTTAATTGTAATCAGAGTGACCAACCATCCTTGGTCTGCCTCTCCCGAATTCTAATTCTCTGTTAACTTGTTCACTCCACAGACTGTTTACATTGTCTCTGGGTTTTAAATTTTTTATTCTTTCCATTATACGGATTGTCTTTCTTACGATCTTTACCCACTGAAGTTTTTCAGGTGGTAAGAGATAACAAGTAGGTGGAATGATTACTGCTGATCCTATCAACAACAGTTGATACAGGCAGCTCCCACTGTGGTGAGAGATGAAGATGCTAAAAAGAAAGGCCTGTCAGGTGCCAGTGAAGTTTCCTTCACAGGTTAAATCATCTTGGTAATTGGAAGGAACATTGTGATTAGTTAATATATTAGGATGGTTTTGTTTATTCCTCCCTTTAGTGCTCCTTGTAATTCTGAACAGTTGTTTAAATACAGCTATTTAATACTGTAACCTGCCCCATTTCAGTCCCACATTCCCAATTCCTGTACCCTGCTCTACTTTTCATATTTTCTGTAGCAATTACCATCTTCCGCGTGCCAGTGAAATGTATTTCTTTATTATATCTATAGTCTATAGTCTGCCCCTGCTGCCATCATCACAGGACAAGGACCTTTGTTTCGTTCATCAGTTTATCCCAAGCACCTACAAAAATGCCTGGCACATAATAGGAGCTCCATAAGTATCTGATGAATTAATAGATCTGCCTAAGTTGGGGATTATTCCTCTTTTGGGGTTAACTCGTTATAAACCTTTAATCACAAAATGAAAATTTTAGGATTTCAAGAGAGGCATTTTAATACTCTTCTTGAGGATAAAAAACAGGACACCCTTAGTGACAACCAATTATTACCTTCTTGACAATTTCTTTACTTGAAATGTAGAAAGCAGGTTAGCATAGTTTCTAAACGAAGAACTTCTAACAGGGAATATGTAGACGTTATGTATTCTCCTTCCTTATTGCAATATGTAAACATTCCGGGAAAAGGGTGCACGGATCTTGGGGACATTTGCTCAGGAGCCACAAGGATCACAGCCTACTAATTCCATGTTTCCCACAAGAAGGACAAATTGTTCTTCATTATCTTCAGGGTATTCAGGGGCCATGGAGAATACTAGGGGCCCTGAAGACTCCCCAAACTGTTTACAAACAGTATTGTTTCTCATATTTGTACAATATACTGTGACAGCCGCCAGCTGCCTATGAGATGACCCCCAATCACCCTTGCCTCCTGGTATTCACAACCTTCTGTGGTCCCTCCCACAGTGAATCAGGGCTGGTCTGTGTTGACTGCAGAAGTGACAGTGTGTGTCTTCCAAGCATTCATCATAAAAGGCATTGCACCATCTCCACCGGTCTCTTGGGTCTCCAACTCTTGGGGAAGCAAGTCGCCGTGGTGTGGGGACTCTAAAGCAGCTCATTGGAGGGACTTCCCTAGTGGTCCAGTGGGTAGGACTCTGAGCTCCCAATGCAGGGGGCCTGGGTTCGATCCCTGGTTGGGGAACTAGATCCTGCATGCATGCTGCATCTCAGAGTTCACATGCTGCAACTAAGAAGCCCGAATGCCACAACTAAAGATCCCACATGCTGCCACTAAGACCTGCATGCTGCAGCCAAAATAAATAAATAATATTTTTTAAAATAATAAAGCAGGGGCTTCCCTGGTGGCGCAGTGGTTGAGAGTCCGCCTGCCGATGCAGGGGACACAGGTTCGTGCCCCGGACTGGGAAGATCCCACGTGCCGCGGAGCAGCTGGGCCCGTGAGCCATGGCCGCTGGGCCTGAGCGTCTGGAGCCTGTGCTCCGCAACTGGAGAGGCCACAACAGTGAGAGGCCCGCGTATCACCACAAAAAAACACAAAACAAACAAACAAACAAATAATAATAATAAAGCAGCTCACTGGAGAGACCTACTTAGAGAGGAACTCAAAGAGGCGGAAAGGCAGTACCAACTTGCCAGCCATGGAAGTGAGCCACCTAGCAAGTGGATTCTCCAGCACCAGTCAGGACTTCAGATGACCACAGCCCCAGCTGACATCTGCCTGCAACTTTATGGGAGACCCTGAACAAAAATTTAGCCCTCCAATTCCTGGCCCACAGAAATTGTGAGACATAATAAATGATTATTGTCGTTTTAAGAGTTTGGGAGTAATCTGTTAGGTAGCAATAGATAACCAATGAATATACAAATCCCTTTAAAGGGAAGAAATTACTTCTGACCCCTTATTAATTAAATTATTTTTATTTTACTTGAACAGTACAAACATACAGTATAAACTCTTTAGGCTTATAGCTTTTATACAACTATTATAAGAAAATTTAAAATTAATACAGGCCATATTACAAAACAATCAAATAAAAAGTAATTTTAATTTCTGCTGAAATTAAATTTCCACTCAAGGAGACTATGGTACTGACAGTGCCTAAGACGTCTCCTCCTGGACTGTTCAGTGACTTTGAATCAATTACCCTTTTTTCCTTAAGCCTGTTTGAAGTGGATTTTCTGTGGCTTTCAACCAAGACTTTCCCCAACAATACAGTTAACTTCTATTTCCACAATTTGGGAAAACTTAAAAAACAAATAAACAGAACACCACAAGCCAGGCGCTCATTTTCCTCCTCTCCGTCTTCTTAACATCGGTACCTTGACCGTCTCGGCCCTTCACCCACACGGCCTCAACCAGGGCACTCGTGCGTTTGGCCGCAGGCGGGTCGGAGGGGTCAAGTCCTCGGGCCAGTGGGCAGTACTTTATCCTTAAGGAGCACTGCAGGGGTCCTGCGCACAGGTGCTTCGGAGCCCGCGTCCTCTCGGCCCTCCCGGCTCACGTCCTGTAGCAGGTGTGTGTGCGCCTCGTTCTACTCGCAACTTTCCAGCGCTTGTTGGACATCCGGGCACGTGAAATTTTACCCTAGATTGGACCGTCGCTGTCGTACTCCACAGCTTGATCCCCTGGGCGCGGTCTTACTCATGCTGAGTTCCTAGAGGACAGGAGCGGGCAAAGAGCCGGGTACACACTGCACCAGAACTAATACTCGACGATTCACAGCTGAAGGCAACTGGGCTGCTTCGCCCCGATCTCCGGCGTCCGCAAGATCCCATCTCCCACACAAGGCTAGCATTCGGCATAAGGAAGCTCCTGCGTGATTTTAAAAAGCCTTCCCTTAGATCTCCCTTTCAATCTTGGGCAATCAGCACCTTCCACCTCAGCTGTGTTTCCCTCCCGGGTGGGGGCGGCCCCGAAGCGCGGGGTTGCCCGGCACTACCTCCCTTCGGCCGCCGGGGGGGCGGTAGACGTCGAAAAGGGTTGCGCATGCTCCGTGTGGGGCCTCGCGCTCTGCCTCCGCAACCGCCGAGTGACGGTGGCGAGTGCGTGGGGTTATGGGAAGTGTGGTTTTCCAGTCACTGGATCACTGGGGCACTCCCGGCTTGATCCCAGAGCGGGACTTCAGCTCCCGGCTCGCCGACGAGAGTGTGTGTGGGGGGGG